GGGGTGGATTCTCCTTTCGTGGAAGTTTTTAATCAGAGGTTGCGAGGTCGCCTGTCAGGGATGCTTTAGCTATGGATTACTTGCTTCAGAAGGGGGTTGGACTCAGTGACCCCAGAGGTCCCTCCCATCTCCGTACCAGCCGGGCCGCTCTTCGGCCGGGGAAGAGGACCGACGGCGCAGCCGCCTCAACAGGACCGGACGCGCCGCCACGTCCTGCGAGGGAGGAAAGGGCGAGGTGCGTCCGGGCGAAGGGGATGGGAAGTTGGGGGGAAAGGATCAACCACGCCGGGGCAACAGGATCCGGGCGGGCGAGCGGGCGGGCGGGGTGGCGGTGGCTGCACTTCGCGGAGGCGAGGGGATCCCTACACACGACCGCGCTCCCTTCTCCGGGTCGCTGAGGCTGCGATCCAGAGGCTTGCCAGAGGGTGACCTCCGCCTCCCACGCCGTCGGAAAGGCAACCCAACCGAGGCACTCAAGCCAGACTCCGGGGCAGCTCGGCTCCAGCTTTTGGGGGGTCTTGATCAGGAAGGGGAGGATGCGGTCCCTGATATAGCTGGGAAGCCGTTCGTGGGAAGCCGCTTCTCTCTTCCCGGCGAGGCTGGGATGGCGATCGCGCTGCTGCTGGCCGTGGCGGGACGCTTCTCGGGTCTGCGCCGCTCTCGGGCTTTGCCCGCCTGACGCTGCCGCTCGCTCCGCCGACGGCCAGGCTGGCAGAAGAAGGGAGGCAAAAAAAAAAAAAAGTCCTTCCCGCCGCCTGTCACCTTTCCAGGGAGAGCCTCCTTTTTCCCGGCTGCTCCAGCGGCTGCCACACGTGGAGCTCTTGATTGTAACACAAACTTCTCCGAAAAGGCACCTCCACCCTCGAGTGACGGGCCCAGGAGCCAATGAGACGTTGAGGAAAGGGCGAGAGGGCGGACTAGCGCTGTCTTTCAGAGCGAAGTCTGTGGGGAGGCGGGAAAGAGCTAAACAAAGGACACGCCCCCCTCGTCAGGTCGAGCAGAGGCTTTTTGTCAGAGGCAGTTTCGAACTTGGCTATATTCCCTCACATGTCAAGTCCTGCTACGCTCCTTGGACCGGTCTATGCCACCTCGTAACGCTTAGTCGACTGTCGTACTGGGTACACCAGCTTCCCCCAACCAGGTCCTCTCCAAATACTGTACAGTATACGGAACGACTTCTAGGAAGACCAAAGGAAAAGGAGGACAGGATCCTGCACCTTTCATTGCTGCTTAGAAGAGGAAATTTTCTGCAGGTACTGTTTTTAGTACAAGCTGCTACTACTTTAGTTTCCTCCTCCATGCAACTATTAAAAGGGAGCAAGAACCTCATCCTTCTCTTCATCCACTCACCCGTAACTCAGTGGTTCCCCATATGTTCTTGGACTGCAACACCCAGAAGCCTTTGCCACCAGCTGTGCTAGCCAGGGTTTCTGTGAGTTGGAGCCCAAGAACATCTGGGGACCCAAGGTTGGGAGCCACTGCCCTAACTATAACTCCCATCATTTGAAGCCAGCATCATTGGTCCAATGCATCTGGAGAGCAGCAAGTTGGAAAAGGCTGTTTATGACATCCATCTGGAGTGGATGCTTAAGGATGCATCCCTGTTTTACACATGGAACACAGCAGCTCCCGCAGCTATGCATTGCGCATTGCCCTTTGCTTGCACGGCAAAGCAAACACGTAAATCTAGGACTAGGTCTGATGTTTTGCCCACTTGGCCACACTGCAAACGGTCTCCTGCCAAATTTAGAAAGCAAGTGTGGGAAAATCAGCTGCTAAGGCAAATCCAACATTCAAACATCACTGCCTGGCAGGGTAGGCTGAAGAAAGGCAGAAATGGGTCGAGATGAGCAAAAATGCTTTCCCCTCAATAGCTGCTTGGGAAAGGACATTTTGGCAGCGTTGGCTTATAGTGCAATAGTTCAGAAAAGCCGGAATTTCCTCTTTACTAAAGAAGAGCAGCATGTACAGGAGCCTGACTCCTTATGGCAGAGCACCATTTTTTTTCACTTTTTGGCCAGGGCAAATAAAAATCTACCACATTTAGGAGCAGAATAAAATTAGCAAGAAAGGAAAGGCACAAATAGGATCTCTTGAATAAATTGCCTTATAAAATCCCAGGGCAAAGTACGTTCTTTTGTTACAGGTGTTGTTACTGTTCTACAAAATTGCATTATGAATCAGAACAATGGGATTTTATAAAACTTTCTGCAATCCAGAGGATTGTTCTCTTTTGCTTCTTATTAAAAAGAAGAAGAGAAGATTGTCACCTTGCTTCCTGACAGAGTTCCTTTCCCTTTAATGGTTGCTTGGGAAGGACTGCAAAGTCAACTGATGAAGCCTTTCCATCATAACAAAAGTCAGTAATGGAGCTGTGCAGTGCTTGGGAGAGCAAAGAATGCAACTTGTATTGAAGACATTGTATGGCTATGGAGGCAAAGGACCTTACCCACATTCCCCAACTGCTGTGACAATCATGTGCAGAATAATCTGGTGGCCATAAAAGCCCAAAGGCAAATTGCGTAGTTCACCTTTGCTCTGGGACAGAACTGATTCTCTGTCTGAAAGATGTTCCCACACAGCAACAGAGTTTGGAAAAGTTATTTTGGGAACTACAGCTCCCAGAATCCCCATCGCCAGCACAACCAGTGGCATGATCAGTATGCCATGCACTCCATAGGCATTCAAAGTTTTCTCTGTGAACCTTTGCGACCCCTGATGAGCAACTGCCCGACACCACTATTAATCTGCTCCCCAGCAACCTTTAGCATGAATTCAGGACTCTTGTTTCCTACACATATATCACCATGCCTTGACTAGGAGCTCACTTTTTTTTATTTTTATGTGCATGCAATCACGTAGCTGTTCATCTTGGGGAGTGAAGAAGAAGATACCATAATTTCTCTGCATTTCAACCTCAGATGCCTGGTAGTAAAAGCATCATTATTTCATAGCCTGTAGAGAAGTCCTTTTCAGTGGAAATGGTTTTTAGAATTGTCGACAAATGGTGCTCACAAAACATTTGACTTAGATCTTCTTACCTTTATTTGCTATTTAAATTTACCTGTGATGCTGCGTTTCATCAGCTTAGAAGAATATACTGAATTGTGAACTGCCCCATATTTCTACTGTCAATCAAGCAAAAAAAGGGGGGTCAGTAGATTCTTGGCCAAATCTAGCCAATGTCAGTGGGAGAGTTAAGTATCCATATAAAGCTACAATTGTATGCATGCTACTCTGGCAGTAAAGCTACAGAACAGAGGCACGCTTATACTGTAAGTGATTCTGGTTGAAATCAGTTTGAGGGATGTAACCAGATCCAGAAGTACCAGAATTAATCCCAGACTATCAATGTCTTCAAGGTGTGTGATCCTACATCTAAAATTCTGTTCCTATCTTTGAATCAGCAGTTTGGTTGAAAATGTTTTCAAGGATTTGAGCTGTAGCTGTACTACTCTTGTCCATCAAAACCAATCATGAAGCTTGTGATAAAGACTAGCACAGAGACTGGCAAAACGTTAGGAAGAACAACCTTCAGAACACGGCCAAAGAGCCCAAAAAAACCCACAACAACCATCAGATCCCAGCTGTGAAAGACTTCAAGAATACACTAGCAAATATTCCTTGGTATAAGCCTTCATGGATGGCATTGGTTGAAATGGGTTGCAGCCTATGAACAGGTATGGGGAATAAAATGTAAGAGTCTTTAAAGTGTTACAAGACTCAGTTCATTTCCACTGACTAGGAACACTTCTGTCTTGTTTTAATTGGATAAAAAAAAGAGTTGCAGTGGCCCCATCAAAGAGTCTGTCTGGCCCAATATTCTGTTCCCAGAGTGTCGGGAGGTGAGGCTATTCAGCGTGGCCCTATCCCAGCCAGCAGCAGGCCAACTTCTCCTGTTGCCGCTGCCCCCAGTTTGCAGGCCCTTGTCTCCCTGCATGCCTTCTCTCTTTGCACACAATGCCACCTCTCATCTCTGTTCGCTCCTAGTCATCCTCGTTGTTGTCTTTGCTGGTCAGCCAGCTGGACAGCCCAGCAACCTCTTTTCAGAAGGCACCAGCTGTTTAAAAATACTGGCACCACTCCTGCCAGCTCTGCTTAAAAACCTCATCAGCTCCTTTGAGCTCCTGGCACCCTTTCAAAGAGGGCAATTGGACTAAGGCAGTACCGACAAAGCAGCAGCCGTGGTCACTGTCAGAGAAGCAGGAGAAGGAAAGGATGAAGGGATCATCCCAGCAAAGTGGGACATAGAGGGAGGAGTCAAAGCAGCAAGGGGGCTCTCTTCAGGTGTGGGGAGGTGCTATTTGATTGATTGATTGACTGCTATATTAGTGCTAGGCACTATTAAAGGTAGTTAACAAAAAGGAACATAAGCAAAAATGTAAATAAAACAAGAACAGATTGTGGCAGCCAGCCACCTGAGATAACAAACTTACCCAACCTACCAGTAGGGTCAACTCAGCACCCTTCTCAGCCCATAGGTTCGCATAAGGGGACAATGACATCATTCAGCACCTTTCAGTGAAGCTTCACGCCATTGTCAGACAGCATAGGAGACAAGCTATGGGACTCTGGAGGCCAGTGCCCAGGGTGTCAAACAACTCATTTGGGAACAGGAACTTAGAAACCACCTGCCTGGAAAATATCTGACATGGTGAGGATCAAAGTAGGGTTTGTTTGTTTGAAGACATCTTGTGGATGCCTTTTTCAGATTTTTGAAACAGTGTTCTCTTGCAAGGAGACAGTTCTCCCTTCACTTACCCATTGGGTAAGTCCCTCTTTGGCAATTTTGATTATCCAGGAGCACAAACTGGCAAAAACTAGCAGATAGAACCTTGTCATTGTCCCACAAAGAATATGTTAGTGCAAATCTGGAAGACAAAAGCAGGCAGACATTTTGCACAGGGATTAACATTCATATTTCCAGACAGAGATTGGATTTCCAAGTTTTAACAAACTCTTTTTCTTTTATTGATTGCCAAAAGAGAGGCTCTAAAACATGAATAATTCATGTCAACAAAAGTGGAGTAAAGAAAAATTTTGTGCTTCTTTAATGTTTTTCTTTTCATTTCACCCTTCTTACACCTTTGCCTGTCAAATCACTGGGTAAATTTTCCATCCAATAGCATTGTGAGGGCTGCTGTCAGAAGCCAATTAGAACATCCAGAGGGAAGCAGAAATTTTGAATCTGTAAGAGGTATTGGATTGGTTGGAACCAAATAAGGAATGGTATTTTGTTATTTCTTTTATTTCTTGTCAGTGTGCAATCTTGTAAGTGCCCTCCATCTTGGATTGTGTGACAACCTGCCTGTTTTCCTGCCTCTGTGGCTCCATCTTGGATCTTTTCCTCTTTTGCCTTTTTTTCTTGATTTTTTGGGGGGATTTTTTAAAATTTCTTTTTGCTGCTCTCCGCCTTGCCTCAAAAAGAGAAGAGAATCCATCTCCTCTTTTGCCTTTTTTTTTCTTGATTTTTTTAGGGGGATTTTTTTTAAATTTCTTTTTGCTGCTCTCCACCTTGCCTCAAAAAGAGAAGAGAATCCATCAAGTGATAAGGGGAAGAAGAATCTCACCATATTCTAATAGTTTTGGTTCGAAGACTTTGTTTTGATTTTACCTTCAGTTGCTTGCTTTCTTACTTTTCTCAGTTGTTGAGAGAGGACTCTCTTTGCTATTTTCCCCATCGTGTGTGTTTTCCCTCTTCGATTGCATTTAAAAATTTTACTGCCTGTTTATTCTGTTAAAGGTGTATATTTTGGTGGAATTTGGTGGGGAACTGTTTTGTGTTGTTTTTGATTCCTTTGGTGTGATCCAGGCATGTAGATTGTGCTCCTCACTCTGTGGTCCCCCTTCAGCAAGACTGAATTGATGATTCATGATGGTTTAGATTCTGCTAGGCAACCCACCTAGGCTAAATAACCTGTGTTTGAAACTACATATTATAATCAGCTTCAATTGAAAGCAGTTTATCATTTTATGCAATGTTGTAGGTACATGTTTGTTTAAAGGCAAACACCAGCTTCAGGCTCTTTGATATTTACAAAAGACCACATCCCATGTTTTGTTTTGTACCAAAAATGAGCAAACAAACAACCAAACAGGAATTTAAATGAAGACCAAATTGTTGTATCCATTTACCACCAGGATTCAATACAGGACTAAGGACTTTTGTACACCTTGAATCCCATTGCAGCCCTTCTTCTTTTTCCTTCTGCAGCCAGGCAAAAGGTAGACCCATGCTATTTTAGTTCAGCAAGCAGAGGTCTTAGGCAGAAAAATCTTGCAAAGAGAACCAGTTGACTTTCCCCATTCCTCTGGAATCTCTGAAGGTTCTCATTTATGGTTTGGCATTTCCCATCAGCTTAGGCAGGTCTGGAGGTTAAATGAGAAGTTTGGGAGAGAGAGCATTGAAGCTAACACATCCTTACAACTGATTACAAGGTCAAAAGCCAAAGGCAATTGCTCCCCCCCCCACTTCCATTCAGTCAAAAACAGCACCAGAAGAAAACCTTGCATTGTATGCCTTTGTGGAGAAAAGGGAGGGATAGCCTAAGTCAGGGAGAGAAAAGAAGAAGATTGATAAGCAAAGGGCAACCTGACTCCAAATGGGTCTGTGTAACAAAAGCCTCTTCATCATTCCAAATGAATAGGGACAAGAGCAGCAAAGGAGGAGAAGCCAGTGGTGGCATCTCAGAAAGCCTGGAGGAAAGGAATCAATGAAGGCTCCTATTTTACCCAAATCCACTGTTTATCTGGGCAATCTTCTTGGCATTCCTTCCTGGAAACTAACCAGAAAGTTCAAGGTTTGGGTGCTCTTCTGCTTTGGTGTTTCTACGGTGTATAGACAAGCATGTGGGCTCGAGTGGCAATTGGACCAAAATGGTTTAATTCACATCTTGCATGATCCATGTGAGGTAGTGTTAATGCCACTATCAAAACCATATAATATTCAGGAGGGGGAGGACATGATAGTGGTACACTCAAAACTTGCGATTCATATGGGTTTTGCAGTTTCTGTAAGGGCACCAGTTCTATAGCCCCACAATACAGTGGTGCCTCGACTTGTGAACTTAATTGGCTCCAGAACTCTTGCCGTAACTTGAAATGGTTGTAATTTGAAGCACTATTTCCCATTAGAAATTGGGAAAAAAAACCCAAAACACAAACAAACCCTGCCAGACCCATTGGAAATGGGGGGGGGACCCAAAAGCAAACAAACCCTGCAAGACCCATCGGAAATGGGGGGGGGGACACACCAAAAACAAACAAACAAACCCTGCAAGAGCCATCAGAAATGGGGGAAAATACACCAAAAAAACAAACAACCCCTGCAAGACCCATTGGAAATGGGGGAAACACACACACACACGCGCACACACACACAAAACCCCTGCAAGACCCATCAGAGATGGGGGGAAACACACCAAAAAACAAACAAACAAACCCTGCAAGATCCATCACAGCATAGAAACATAATCCCACCACCCAGCCCAAAACCACACTGCAGAACCCACCCAGAACAGTTTTTAAAAAGTAGAAAGCAGCACCTTTTCAGGCAGTCTGAAGCCTCCTCCGATCGCACACTCTCTAACTGCTGGGGCGAAAGAGCTACAAAGAAGCAGCCTCTTCCCCACCAACAGTTAGCAAATTGAATTCCCTGCCTTTCCCCCCTGCCTTTTTCTGGTTGTAACTCAAAGCTCTGATCACAAGTAGAAGCAAAATTTGCATCTGGAGCTGGTGGTAACTCGAAATGGTCATATGTCAGGACGTTTTTAAGTCGAGGCACCACTATATTTGTCTGGATGCAGAGCCACTGCTGCAAAACATCTTACAGTAAATGATCCTCTTTCCCCCTTTTTTCCTCCTCCTTGGCCCATTGAGCCAATGACCTCAAACACTCTACCGAAAAGCTCCCATCAGATGGCCAAGCAGGGGACAAAGTCAAAGCAGAAGTCCAGAATTGGTCACACAAAAATTAAGAAAACTTAGCTTTGAGGATTCAGCTTCTGGGCTCAGACATTAGGAGTCCCTGTTGAATTTGGACACTGCCTACAGGCTCCACCTCCAATGAGATGTGTTCCAGTTGGTTTGTTCAGCATCAGCTGACGTCAGTTCCATAAGTCTCGTGATTGGAGGAAACTGAGTCTCCTGACAGTAGGAAGCTAAGCCTCTTGACTGAAGGAAGCCTTTACACAGGAAAGGTACGGGCCATTTTGTTCTCTCCTCAGCTATCTCAGCTTACGTCTGTGTAAAAGGTGCCCCTCAATTTTTAGTCTAATGATTTTAGGAAAAGGTAGCATCTTATACATAGAAAAATGCAGTAGTTTCTCACTGGAGTGAAGAAGACTGCAATCGGGTGACCTGTGTGCTGTCCAAGCAATCACTATGGATGGACAACTTCAAGGTCCCTGGATCTCTCTTCTTCTGCCTCATTACCTTTGAACCAAGTGTGAACTGCATTGCCCTTCAAACTGGGTTCCATCAAAAAGAGAAATGTCCTCTGGCAGCTGCTCACAGAAAAGGATGTCCTCTTTAGAAGAGGACACATGGTCACCCTGAGCAGAAGTCAACCTTTTAGTTACAATTCAAGTGTAGGTAATCCTGCTAAAATTTCCCTTTGTTCGGGAGATGAAATTGCAGGACCTTATCAGTGATAAAGCCTTCCCCCGCCCCTCATTTAAGTGATTAGTGATCAGAGTGATACCTAGTTCAGTTTTAAGCTGTGAAAGCATAAACCAGCACAGGTCAGAGTTGCCCACCCCTATTTTAAACTGTTACTACTAGATCAGGCTAGAGTGCCCACTGAGCCATGAAATTCACTGGGTGATCTTGCGCCAGTCCTGCTCTCTCAGACTGATGTACTTCACGGGATTCTTGTGAGGATATTGTGGGGAAAAGGATGAGAAACAAGCATGCTGCCTGGACCTCAGCGGAAGAAAAGTGGGACATAAATAAAATAACTATTTGGTTGTTGTGGGTTTTCGGGCTCTTTAGCCGTGTTCTGAAGGTTGTTCTTCCTAACGTTTCGCCACTCTCTGTGGCCGGCATCTTCAGAGGACAGCACTCTGTGCTCTGGTGTAATTTGCTTGGGAGTGGAGTATTTATGGCTGTGAGATAGGCTTTTGTCCTTTTTCAGGAGATGGGTGATTAGTGTGTCTTGTTGTGGGTGTATTGTTGTGATAAGGAGGAGAGATTATCTGTCACTGTGAAATAACTATTTCTCTTCTTCCTCTGCCACCCCTCACATGTAAAGGAGACAAACTATTTATTATTTGCTCCTCTCCTTTCTGTGTGAAGGCTGAAATGACATAAGAAGCAGGGGGAAAGTAACTTTCCTTCCCCCCTCCCCATCATCTTTATCTCTTCTCCTTTTGATCCTTGTTTTGTAAAGGAGATAGACTAGTGATAGTTCTTCTCTACAGGTTGCAAATCTTTTCAACCATTCACCTATCAAAAGTTTATTTAATGACTTATCTTTTAGTATAGCAACATGGACTACCACCCTCCCCCCCATCTCTTCCAATTTACTTATATGAGTCTGATCTGTTTTGGAATTGGGGGTGGGGGGCAGGCTTCAATAAACCATTATTTTCTGTTCCCTTTGTTGCCAAGCCCTCACCCAGAGTGAGCATGTCATGGAGAAACCATTGTGCCCTGAAGTTAAAGTTTCTGGAGGAGGAGAGGTTATTTTCCTAGACCACAAAAGACGATGCATCCCAATCTGTCTCCTTTTCTCCTTCTCTTTTATTAATTCATGTTCAGGTGCGG